GAAGTTGGACTTTGAATATGGCTTTATTCTGTCAAACTCGCTTCCATTTTTGCGGCAAAGTTCAGCAGCGTCTAAACTTTTAGCATATTAAAAACGCACGCGCTGGGCACACGGAGCGCATGCGCGGAACGCAGTCGTCACATTTTTCTGATCTGGTCATATTAAATTTCGTAAAAACGGCCTTTTAAGTAAAAGCGGTCATAAAAGAAATTATGTGTATGGCATCGTTTAGCAGCGATCCGATCACCTTCAACTAAAAGATGTTGAAAAGTGCTGCTAAAAGTGAGATATGAGTAAGGGCCTTAGTAGTTTTACCTGTAAGGTCTTTATCGATGCGACTCGCGGGACAGCCATGCGCGTGATGCCTAGTCTCCTTTCGGACAGGTCTGGGCTCGGGTCCACACGATTCAATCATATTTTCTTGAACGGCGGTCGAGCGACCGAAAGTCCAGCTTGGGTTTGGAATTTTATGTAATGACGATCGCATAGCTCGGCCGACCGTTCAGACTTCTTCACTGATCTATATAGTAACTACCCAGTGAACACTGTTATATAACTGTTGGGTAAATGTTAGGTTTTCGAAACTAACATGGTATGTAGCATAAAAGTAACATGGAAATTAGATGTTAGATAATATTTCCCACTCAGTAAGGTAACATGTTATATTAATGTTATAATTTCAGTTACTTTAAAATAATATTAATTTTTCATACATTTAATAAAAAATATGACGCAATTTTATCCAAAATTATATAGCTTTTATTTTAATTATTGCGCATGCGTCAAAACAATGTGTCATTCGACTGCAGACAGCGTAGGGTGTCAAATTAATTATCTAGAAAAAAATAATTGCCATTTTTATTCAAATACTTACGCTTAAAAGGATTACCACTTTGCTTTAGTCAAAGCTTTCTTACTCGAAAATCTAACCTTATCAAATAGATATAATATGTTACTGCTCGCGATAAAATCAGTTGAAGGGTCGATCGTATGAAGTTAAGACAATTCTTTATCAAAACTCAACTTTTTTTTAGCTGAACATTACCGAGCTTGTTTCACTTGTTATCGATACTTTTTCTCTGTATAAATGAAAAGTTGATTCCATTGAAAGAGAGACAAATTTTAACGTAAGTGTACCAGTCGCCGAATATCACTTTTAATATTTCCCTTTATTAGGGTATTATTGAAGGGTCATTCTATGTATATCAAAACGTAAAAGTATTTATAAAACTTTTTTCTAACCTGGATGCACCTAATTGAATCGTCAGCACATGATTATGGAGACTGAGGAAGAACGTAGAATACAATCTGCTATTAGGAACACCATGTGCAACCCTCATCAAACATATGTTTTCTCGTATTTTTTAGTAAGCTGAAGAAAAAGAAGAGTAGATTCGTTTAATTTTCTGTGTTAAATGTGGCGAACTCAATAAACCAGTTGACTCAATTTAAATTTGGAGCTATCAATTCTATTTCAGTTAAGTTTGGAGTTGATTCAACTACAAAATGTGATTTTGCACTAAATGTAAGTTGAACCAACTCGCTTATTGAGTCTCGCCTATTGATCTAGAAATTCATGAAAGAAAACATAAATGCTACTCTTTGTGAATGTCTTAAAATACATTTTATTCTCCTTAAAAATAAGCAGCCAATATAAAACTTTATACATTTCTTTAGTATCTGTCAAAGTTATTTGGTCCCGTTTTTCTCGCTCGAGTGCAGTCTGAAAGGTTCCTTGGGTGTCAATTTTATACACTCGATGGACAATCTTCTCAACGTAATTTCTAACCATCTTTTCCCGATTCGCCCCGACTAATATGCTGAAAAGGAAATGAATTGCTAGAAAATTGATGGTTTAATTTTTCTCAACTTGACCTCAAATACATTACTGTAAAATGTAGTCAAAAGATTGAAGTATGCACAAATTGAACGAATAACGCTGGAGAACCTTAATATAAAAAATAAATTTATGAAGTAACGAGAAAACCACAGGATTTTTCGTTAATTTTCAAATTTGATTTCATGAACACATTAAACTTACGACAGTATAAGATTGAACCATAATTGGAGGGCAAATTTTATATTGCGGAACGAATTGACATTTTTGCAATATGATATTACATGCAAACAAGTTGTAGCGTATTTCGCGGCGGTCGAACAGTCTCGCTACAGCCCAAAGTAAATTTAAATGGCCAATATTTCGTTATATGAATTGTCTGACAAACGTAACACATGGAGGGTAAAGGGGAGGAGGGGGGTAAGTCATTCGGAAAGCGTTCGAGTCCGTCGACACTCAGCTTCGGCGGTAGCACGAGGACGATGGGTCGGCGCGGTAAGGGGACTGTATACTTTTGTCTCTCTATATCCGCCCCGGAGGCCGTGTGGCCGAGTGAGATAGCCTATTTGATGCGCTATCCGTTTCATAGAGTAGAGACAGACTTATGCGTCCGGGCTTCGAGTCCTGTCCAGATGACGCTTTCGCGTTGGCGTGGCTCAGAACTCTGGTCTCGGGCCTTCCACCCCCTACTGCGAGGGTCTCGATGTCGGTTCCCCGATAAGCGGATTACTGTCAATGTTTTCGCGCCGGCGAAGAAGACTCTCTTTCTACCCCGGGCTACGGCCTCGTTCCTTCTGGAACGGCGTTCTCCCTTGCTCTCTCGCAGGTCTTATGTCTCCCGACGGTGTTTTCGCTAGGACTCGTTCACCCGCAGGCCTTATCGCACCTTCCTTCCATGGCTCGCAAGGTGGATTGTCATTTTGCGACGACCGCGATCAAGTAATTGACAGAGGGAATGGAGGATCGATTCCTTAGCGAAAACTGTCGTCTCGAATAAACTATGCCGACTCTCGCATTCGTAACTTTAACCTTTCGTCGTCCCTGCTTTATTAAGACATGCAAATTTATAAACCATGTGGAAACTGAAACATGATGAAATTTCAAAGTTCCGTGGCTTAAAATAAAACAAATTGACGGCATTGACATTAAAGCAAAATGATATAAAGAGAAATTTTGCAAATAACGTAAACTAAAATAAGCACAGTAAATAGAGGAATCACGATTAGAAGTAAAATTTTATATTCCCGAAGGAATTGACATTCTTGCTATATGATATTATAAGCGAACAATTTGTAGCATATTTCGCGACGGTCGAACAGTCCCGTTGCAGCCCAAAGTAAATTTAAATGGCCAATATTTCGTTATATGAATTTTCTGACAAACGTTACACGTGGAGGGAAAAGGGAAGGAGAAGACCAAAAATAAGTTTCCCTTCGTCAGGGCCGGCTCGGCTCGGCCGCCGGCTCGGGGCTCGAGGGTTCTAGACGTGGCGTTCTCTCTTACTCCTACGGGTCGCATAGGCACCGGGCTTTCTCTACCGCTGTTAAAACTCCTGTCTCGGGCCTTCCACTCCCTGTTGTGAGGGTCTCGGTATCGGCTCCCGATAATCGGATTAGCATCGATGTCTACACGTCGGCGAGGAAGACTCTCTTTCTCTCTCTACCCCGGGGTGCGGTCTCGTCCCATCCTGAGCGACGTTCTCCGTTGCTCTCTCGCGGATCTTATGCCTCCCGACGACGTTCTCGCTTGCAGTCGTTCACCCTCGGGCCTTATCGCCCCTTCCTTCCGCGGCTTGCAAGGCGGATTGTCATTTTGCAGCGACTGCGATCAAGTAATTAACAGAGGTAATGGAGGATCAATTCCTCCACGAGAAATGTCGTCTCGAATTAACCGTGCCATCTACTCGTAATGTTAACCCTCCGTTGTCCATGCCTTTTTCGGACACGTAATTTTATGACTTGTATTTGTATTTAAAATGCAAGTAAACAATTTAATCTCATCTGTTTTTGCCAATGTGGCTATTTCGAGTTACACGTGATGTTTAACTTTTTCGAGAGTTGATTCAGTTGATAGAACAAGTATCATTCTGATCGACTCTTTTCTAATATTCTCATTTCTCTGGGAGTATTTAATTTCAAACGCAAATCGATTCAAAGTCTATTTAAAATTTGAAATCCATAACAGTTTATTGTTCTTATTTCAAATACGAAATGGAAATGGGGTTTTTCGTTTTGGATACCTATTTCGAATGAAATCAATTCGTAAGAGTTACTCCGATTTGCGTTTATAATAAACTCGGATATGAAAAGTCTTTCTTATGTTTACGGGTGCTCATTTACATGCTGATTTAATGATTTACAGGTGTCCATTTATTCGAGGAATACGAAGAATGGTGTGGAACGTAAATATATAAGAGGCATGAAATCACGATTTCGTTTCTGTGTCCGATAGTTGATGCGTCGTAAATTTTCCGACGGTATTTCACTGTATATATATTTAGAAACTATTTCTTTTAAGCTAAGATAATATTCTAACTTCGGTTCAGTGAATGGAACAATTGAATCACTAAGAAACTTGTTAACATTTAATAGAACATGTTCTATTATATTCTTTATAAAATTCTGTAAATTATTATTTAACAAAAACTACGTTAGGTGGGTCAGGGTCGCTCCACAGTAATACTAAAATAATTTTCATTAATTGTTTTTGTTTATAAATATTTATTTTCTTTAGGAAATGCATTCTGCCCCTCGAGCGATTCGAATTCCGCGCTGCTCCCGCCGCTAGTACGCTGCGCGGCCGGAGAGGGCAGTGCGGACCAGGTGCAAGCCATCGATGGAGTCCAGTGTACCAACCCTAGGACTTTCTCGTATTCCAGCGCCCCTATCTATGATGTTGCGTACTAAATTTTAAACATCGAACCTCCGTATTCGACTGGTCTTCTATTGGCATCTCTTAGTTCATTGATATTAAACGCCGGCTGTTATTCAAAAGTTGTGTATTAGCTGTTTTTGTAAATAAAATTCGTTAATTTTGGTTCTATTTATTCAGATCAAGGTAAAATGAAAGAAAACATGCTGTTTCAATTTTCTGCGCATCTTTTTCTGTATATAGATATTACTTTCTTTCTTTTTTTATTTTTATACGTTTTGCCGCTCTCGATGTTTGGTATCGCATTTATTAATGTATTAAAACTCAAATCCATCATAAATGAGCCGCATTATGACAACGTACGCCGCTTTTATCTCAAGGACCGTCTTAAAATAATCATTCTTAATGAATTGTACCGTTAAAATAAGATGAGAATTTTTGTTATATAGTTCAACATGCAACAGGTGTTTTGCCTCTGTTTATTATTTACATTTTTCGTTTTACAGATGAATTCCGGTTGTACATTTAGTTGCAGTGGTAAGGTTCTTTCAAACAACTGGAATTTAAATAAAGACAGTTTATTCCTCAGTGGTGAAATGGAGAACATATTTCATAATCTTCGGACCATTGATACCAAATTTGAGCTTTTTAATCAGGTTTGCTCGATGCCTTATATGATGATGAACCTCGAGCATTTTGTTTCTTGTACCGAGTAAGAAAAACATGGACTTTGTAACAAAAGTATGGGTTCGTGTCTTTTAATATTATTTAGAAATAATTTTTCAGGATGAAACTAAGGATTTTAATGAGATATGAAACAAGTGCTGGCATTTATAATAATACTAATACTGCGATAAGTTCCCGAACTAAACAGGTGGACTTTTATAACATGAGAACTTCCATTTGCAAATTGATCATGTGTATCCGTACTTGGATAAAGAGGTAAGAATTTGACCCTCTTATTGTCTATGGACTTCTTTCCATTTTTTAAAATATTTTTGTTACCATTTCTCGTCTAAGTGTCAAGTGGGATAGCGAGACTAGGAGCACAGCGGATGATTTGGTTGGCAAACATCTCGACGAATTGTCTTGTGCGATTAAAAGCTACCTTGGTCGATTTCGTGAAATACCTATTTGGACGTGCCAATCTACTGGTTCTACCCTCGGTAATAAGGTGCAGAAATCGTTTTAATCTTCACAAGAATAAGAAACGAGATTCATTATATTATTATTCACCATTAATTGCAAGTCACGGTATGAAATCCAACATGAATATTCAGTAACGTTTATCTTTTTCAGTGTACTCAACCAGAATTTCATATGTATCATATGCATCTGGAACTTCGATGGCTTTACGTCACATTGAGTCAAGCTCAGAGTCTATGCTGGCAATTATCGAGCAATCAATTCGAAGATGTCAGCGATGACAGTGACGAGTTAAGATCGACCATTGAAGATTTAATTTACATATCGATGAAACTCTTTGAAAGGGTAAGGTGTTTAGGGGATCATCGATCAGCATTAATTTATCAAAGCTTTCGGTCATATAACTTCAAACATTTTAGGTCAGATTTGAAGATTTGCAAGAGCGAACTCCTTACAGCTGCACCTGTGTCAGAGAACTTTGGCTAATGCTGCAGATTCTAGCCGAAGAAAGTGTCCAAGGCTCGACACGGAAGGTAAGAGAATCTTACAGGACATGTACGATTCAGCATCTGAGTTTGAAACCGGTTTAATATCTTAAGCTGATATGATAGAGCCACCCTATATATATTGAGAAGTTCAATTGTTCGTGAAAAAATTCTCCAAAATGGATGTACTGATTCATTTCAAATTTTACCACGTCAGCATGGAGACCCTAAGATAGGTCTTAAAACTCGTGAAATTTCATTTTTTTTGTTAAAGAATTATTTATCATGGACTGAAACCAACATGACGTCGTCCATGCACGTTTTTGATATTTTATACTTTTTGAAGGCTTAAAATCGGAAATAAAGAGTTTCAGGACCTAGCTGGAACAATTTAGAATTCTACAGAAATGGAATATGGTAGAGTCGGATAGGAAAATATGGAAAATACTTTCACGAACGATTGCAAGAGAATGCTGACTTGTCCCTTGAGTAGCGCATGGTTTTAGACGAAAAATTTAGTTGCAGCTAAAGGCCACAGATGTCGCCGTGGGCCCATTAAAGTACAAAAAATCATGATTCCATGGGATTTTTAGTTTCACATCGATCTATATATCATTGCTTCACTGAAATGATATACGAGCCGCTCAGTGCACACATCAACTAACTCCACATTTTGAAAAATCTTAAATTTAGGTGTCAAAGCACTTGGTATAGCCATAACTTTTTATATTTATAATATCTTTCCTGATTAATAGAGATTAACACCATTAAACGGCACAATTTTTTGGGGCATTGAATAATAAGTAATTTATTTCAGAAGCCATTTTGATTAACTCCATACTCTAATGTAAATCGTAGACGAATACCTGGCAGTATAGTATTATTGGATTATCTGTTGCAGCCGTACATCGACGCTTTTTTTTTTAAACAGCCGAAGATGCTTTCCCCCTTTCAACAATATGAGTAATAAAATCGCATCAGCAAACGGATAGAAAGAAGCGCAATGCAGACGGTAGTTAGTATAACAGTGATCTCTCCTGCTGAATGTTACCGTATACTTCACAAATATTACACGGACTACATATTTTTTTGTCTTTTCAACATTACTCCCTGATTGTTTTTAAAGAACTAAATATTATACCGTTATAATCAAGATGAGTGAAACTAATAACAATGGGGATGTGAAAAGCAGCGATGATTCTTCAATACGATTTATCAGCAGAAAGTTTGGTGCAAGAAGACGTTTATTGTGTTTCTCGGATTCATCCGATTGCAACGGTACAAATTCCCCAACAAACACATCGATTGGGAGGAAAAGAAGTCGTAATCCTGATAAATGGGCACGAAATTTACAAAAGCATAACGGAANCGTCGACAACGGAGGCATTTAGAAAAATCTTCTTTATCGACATTGATCAAGTTCCTCAACGTGTTTCATTTCACCTTAAGTAGAGTCATGATGCAAATGGGTTAATCCACTCCGTTCCCCAGACGTAACAACGGACCACGCCATGTTGGTTCTAGTCCACGATAAGTAAATAAATTTTTGATTATAAATGAAATTTCATGAGTTTCAGGACCTACTTTAGGGCCTCCATATTCACGTGGTAAAATTTGAAACGAATCGGTACACCCAATTCGTAGAATACTTTCACCAACTATTTGACTTCTCAGATACATATGAGCCGCTCAGTGCACACATCTACTAACTCCACTTTTTGAAAAACCTTAAATTTAGGTGTCATAGCACTTGGTATACTCATAACTTTTTATATTTGTAATATCTCAACTTTTTGTTTTATGGAGTTAATCAATGTGTGCACTGAGCGGCTCATATGGAACGCTTCATTTCGTATAATTCTCAATGTAGAGGGTAATAGACTTAAATGTAAATACAAATGTCGGTAACATGACGCACCAGCTTATGTTTACTTGTATTAGCACAGCACTTGTATTTAGTATTATGTACTAGTATGTGCATAGAATGGTATTAGCACCAAAAAAGGTATAGATGAATTTTGTTTTATCGACGTCGATTAAATCTCTCAGCACCTTTCATGTCATTTTTAACATCTGTGTAGGTCTTCTGGCGGAAAGTCAATTTCATCCTCGACAACGCATTAATTCAGAATAAGGAAGCAATTGAGGGCGATCACCTAGAGTGCAATTATCCGGAACTGTTCTGCGTGTGGATCATCTACCACTTGGCTCTTCTACATGGCTACCGGAAAGACGGAATATACGCAAGCCGATCGTCACCTAGGGTAATGTCTAATTTCCAACGTGAGAACAGAATTCAAAGATTTCCAGCACAGCTGAAATCATATGTTGGCGCTTGATGCTCTCTTGGTTGACCAACAAACCATTTTATGCGTATAGAAAATTGAGTAGTACAAGTTAAGATAAAGTGAAACCCCCCTCAAATCAGTTGATTCTAATGAGACTTTATTTTAAGGATGTTAGATTGAACCGTCTCTAACTTTGACACATGACTTTCATGCACCGAGGAATTATCCTGACACTTTTAAAATTTCGATTTTTAAAACAAGTTTTTTAACTTAGCTCAGACCAGAACCAAAATGGCGTCGAGCTCTCATATTTCGATCAATATACAATTATCGAAGGCTCTGATATGAAAATCGAAAGGGTCAGGACAATTTTACTACAATTTGGGACACTCTGGTAAACGATAAACTCGCACTTGAACGGGATAAAGGCAAAAAAAGTGTTGTATGCGCTTCTATGCTAAAAGGATGGTAATACGAGGTCTCGTAGTGAAGATTTAATTGACCTGGAAATCACAGATGGCGCAGGGGGTCTCTCTGCAGTCAATTAGGGTCCCAGAAAGCTTGAATTCAGAGGATTTCTGGAGTTTTACTTCGATTTCTTGATATTTATTGTACGAAAACGACAAGTGGAGTATGCTATTTGGTACAATATCCAATATAATTCTACACAGTCGTCAATATAAAAACAAACGTGGGCAACGTAGGCATTAAGAAAAATCTTCTTTATCGACGTCGATCAAGTTCCTCGACGTGTTTCATTTCACGTTAAGAAAGATCGCAAGGCTTGCTCTCAACGAAATAAGCCCGGCGAAAGAAATCAAAAACCATATTACTGCAATAATGGCCCCGACAAGTCGAGGATGTATCTTGGCGACTGCTTTATAAAATACCATACAAAGCAACAATACAGTCCTTAAAATTTAACAAAATTTTTTCTTTCACATGTACGGATACATAAAATATTCAAATATAATAGTTTTATACGTTAATTTGTACGTGAAATCATTTTAAGTTAGTTGGATGAAGTTCACCAAGTATGCGGAAAATCGTCTCGAGATGCTGGCTCGTTCGGGCGAAAAAGGCTTCGAGTGCAAAGGGTTAAGGTGAAGTGAAACCCCCTTCAAATCAGTCGATTCGAATACAACACTTTTTTTTTAAGGTTATTAGACCAAACTGTCCGAAACTTTGACACATCACTCCTGATCATTTAAAAATTGTCCTGACACATTAAAAATTTGGATTTTTGGAAAAAGTTTTTCAACTTAGCCAAGACCAGAACCAAAATGGCGTCGAGCTCTCATATTTCGATCAATATACAATTATCGAAGGCTCTGATATGAAAATCGAAAGGGTCAGGACAATTTCACGACAATTTGGAACACTCTGGTAAACGATAAACTCGCACTTGAACGGGATCAAGGCAAAAAAAGTGTTGTATGCGCTTCTATGCTAAAACAATGGGAATACGAGGTCTCGGAGTGAAAATTTAATTGACCTGGAAATCACAGATGGCGCAGGGGGTCCCTCTGCAGTCAATTAGAGTCCCAGAAAGCATGAATTCAGAGGATTTCTGGAGTTTTACTTCGATTTCTTTATAATTATTGTACGAAAACGACAGGTGGAGTATGCCATTTNCTGGTCTGGACTGAGTTAAAAGATTTTTTTGAAAAATCCAAATTGTGAATGTGTCAGGACAATTCTTAGATGATCAGGAGTGATGTGTCAAAGTTTCGGACAGTTTGGTCTTACACCCTTAAAAAAAAGTGTTGTATTCGAATCGACTGATTTGAAGGATGTTTCACTTCACCTTAATCAGTGTGTGCACTGAGCGGCTCATATATCGGCTGACTCTTTCACATCCCCTTCATGTTCTCATAAATATTCAATATTCTCGTAACTTCCGGTACGTTTCATAAGTATTTTCTCCAATTTTCTTATTGGGAATTTTCGAACCCTATGCTCAATACAAATCGGAAACTACTCGTAGATCGACCCGAACTACGAGCAACTGGAGAAGATCTTAAAGGCCTACGTCGAGAGAGGAGGCAAGGTCGGCCAAAGACGCAACGCGGAGAACGAGCTCTGCGCGATCATCACTCTGGTGTACGCCCTCGTCGGCCAGTGGTGGCCACCCCGGATGCAGGTCGTCTCCTCTCTCTGGGACTGCTTTCATCGGCGGCTCGACGACTCCTTCTTTGTCCACAGCTCCGGCCTGTGGTCCCTCAGCATCGAAAGGTAAAGAGCATAGAGTTTGTAAAAATGAAGGAGACATTGCTATGGTACTCCACTATTAAGCATTCGGGTAATTCCAGGATAGACAGACTACCT